CGGAAACTTTCTCGCATTTTCATGCTGAAGAGCGGCAGTGGCGCACCGCCCCATTAGAAGATTTTTTTCCGACGAAAATTGCCAATCGCCCATCTTGACTGTCCATTAAGGCGCAATCGGAGTATCATCGGCATTATTATCACGTGGAGTGGATTTCCATTACTCCCTAATGTGCCGCGTGCGGCGCCCCAATCGATCCGATCCGAATGACACTGTTTTCGTTCCCGGCCGCTCTTTGTTATTCATGGAAGGGTTGTTTCCCCCCACTCGATCTTGGAGAATTGATTTGCGCGCCCCCCCGCCACCCACTGCACTGGACTGTAAAAGTTGCCACGTTGGTTGGTTTTGAAGTTGTGAAGTTCTGAAGTTGTGTCGTGCTTGCCCACATTTGCACACTAGCGGAGTTTAAGGGCGTGATTTTAACTCTTTTCGCGTTCGAAAGCAAGTGAAACTGTCTGGAAGTCAATAGGGGAGTTTASTGGAGAATCAGGCCAGTTTTCAAGTGAAACTCTCATTTGGTTCAGGAGTTGCGAATTTTCAAAAGGAATGAGTGCCATTCTTTAAACGCTCACTGCAGGAGTTGAGGCGCGATTTCGGGTTATCCCTGCGCTCGTAAGTTGATGAAACTTTTCAGGGATCTCAAATGAAGTTTGATGGTCATTTCCTGGATGTTTAAAGTTGCCAAGTTCATTGGTTTTGAAGTTGTAAATTTCTGAAGTTGTGTCGTGCTTGCCCACATTTGCACACTAGCGGAGTTTAAGGGCGTGATTTTAACTCTTTTCGCGTTCGAAAGCAAGTGAAACTGTCTGGAAGTCAATAGGGGAGTTTACTGGAGAATCAGGCCAGTTTTCAAGTGAAACTCTCATTTGGTTTAGGAGTTGCGAATTTTCAAAAGGAATGAGTGCCATTCTTTAAACGCTCACTGCAGGAGTTGAGGCGCGATTTCGGGTTCTTCCTGCGGTCGTAAGTTGATGAAACTTTTCAGGGATGTCAAATGAAGTTTGACCTTCTTTTCCTGGAAGCTTAAAGTTGCCAAATTCGTTGGTTTTGAAGTTGTAAATTTCTGAAGTTGTGTCGTGCTTGCCCACATTTGCACACTAGAGGAGTTGAAGCTCGGGATTTCAACTCTTTTTGCCGTTAAAAGCAAGTGAAAGTTTCCGGAAGTCAATAGGGAAGTTTACTGGAGAATCTGGCCCGTTTTCAAGTGAAACTCTCATTTCGTTCAGGAGTTGCGACTCTGAACTGTCACTGGTTTTGCTCTCGCACTAAACTAGTCCGGCAGCCGGAGCGGTCTTTTGTGTGGCAAATAAAATAAATCGCCCGAGGGCTAAACGGGCTTTCGAGAACAAGCGGTAACACTTGCTAACTTCGGAAGGAAACACGATAAATAATAATAAGCTGCGCCCGGGCGCGAGCTGGCAACAAAGCGAAACAAACAACTCCCTAAAATTCTTCTTCTTCTCCTCCTCCTCCTCCTCTCAACTGGCGAATCGACATTAATCAGTGGCGCCGATTAATTGTGACGTTACGTCCAGTTTAGAGGTCCCGGCCGTAAATTGGGGCCCCGTCGGATTTACTGACACTTTATGGGGCCCCATTTTTTACAGGAACATGTGCCTGTAATGGCGCTGCTGCCAGCCGATGGGGCTCAGCTTTTCAATTAGTTGTTGTTGGCCGGCTCAAACAAATCGAACACAATTAAGGGAACATCGACGGCATTCGTCAATTGGACTGTCCTTTGTCCTGTTTCTCGGCTGGACGATGGAAAAATCACTGTGCCAACTCTCACTGGTTGCGAGTTTCCGCCAAAACTCCCTTGGAAGTACGGGAGCTTTCCAGCTCCTCCCAGTTGGGAGTTGGAGCGTGTCAAATCTAGCAGCGAGTGGCGCAAAAACTCGTCAAAACTCACTCGGCACTTTCATATAGTTGCGTCTTCTAACCGCATCAACCGCAACTTCCAAGTTGGGAGTTAGGCCAAGTTGCATAAAGGCATCAGTAGCCAACTCTGGGCCAAAAATTGATTAAAAATTGAAACGAATTGATTCTGAAAATTAATAACTCCCGAACCAAGAAAGTTATAACCTTGAAATTTCGTGAAATTGTCGAGTGAACTGCACTCTTAAGTTGAGGAAAGTTTCATTCGCATCCTGCTTCAGAAAGAGTTAGAAACCCGGCCTTAAACTCTCAGTAAGCAATTAAGGATAAACGCGACATAAGTTTAAAAATTCACAACTTCAAAGGCAATGAAGTTGGCGACTTGATACTTCTACAAAATATTCACGGAACTTCATTCTGCACGGACGAAAACTTTCATTGGCGTGCGACAACCGGAAAACTGTGAAATGGCTGCTCAACTCCTATAGTGGGTTTTGAAAGACTTGCACCAATTGACTTTGAAAATTAGTAACTCCCGAACCAAGAAAGTCTTGCACTTGAAATTTGGTCAAATTGCCAAGTAAACTTCACTCTTAACTTGCGGAAAGTTTCATTGGCAGTATGCTTCGGAAAGAGTTGAAAACCCGGCCTTGAACTCCCACCTAAGCCATTGAGGATAAACGCGACCTTAATTTAGAAATTCTCAACTTCAGAGCTTAAGAAGTTGACGACTTTATACTTCTAGAAAATGTTCACAGAACTTCATTCTGCAAGAACGAAAAGTTTCATTGGCGTGCGACAACCGGAAAAGTGTGAAATGGCTGCGCAACTCCTATAGCGGGTTTTGAAAGACTGACACCAATTGGCTYTGAAAATTAGTAACTCCCGAATCAARAACGTCGTGAAYTWGAAATTTGGTCAAATTGCTCACTGAGCTTCACTCTTAAGTTGCAGAAAGTTTCATTCGCATTCTGCTTCAGAAAGAGTTATAAACCCGCCKTTGAACTSCCAGTAAGCAATTGAASACAAAGGYGACATAAGTTTAAAAATTCACAACTTCARAGRCRRTRAAGTTGGCGRMTTGATACTTCTAGAAARTCACCACCGAGCTTCAGTCTGCACATACGAAAAGTTTCATTGGCGTGCGACAGCAGGAACAATCCACAATGACTCCTCAACTCCTACAGTGGGTTTAGAAAGACTTTCACGAGGTGACTGTGAASGTTCATAACTCCTGCACGGAAGGTCGATTCGACTTGAAAGTACGTGAAGGTACGAAGTAAACTCTCACTTCGGCYGGCGCACGTTGAACAGCTGTTGGAAGTTGGAAAAGCAGAAAACTCACTCGCGAAAGTGAATCRACTCYTCAAAAGTCGGAAGTTGCGAATAGTGCAAACTCACACTCGCCCACTGGTCMAAGCGGGGAGTTGGGRGGAAGTTCCGGTGGAAGTTGGCTTGGCAACTCCCGGGGCCGGCCCCCATTCCGCTCCAACACGTGTAGTTTCATGCCATAAATCCGTAAGCGCGAGGCCTAAAAACTTCAATTTCCCCCCCCGGCCCGGCCGCCCATATTTCTTCCCATTGTTAAGCCAAGATTAATGATGGCCCGTGAAACCGAGTCTCAAGCGCTGTTTCTCGACTAGAAAATCCTTCTCCGCCGCGTTCCGACGTTTCCGCGCGGGCGAAACCCAAACAGAATCGCTTTGGAGGATCGACGGGCGAACTCCCAAACTCCCAGCCCCCCTCCCCGATACAGTGATAGATGCCCCCCCAGTGCCGCCACCTCGATTTACCTAATTCCGGCCGCGCGGTTAAAAATAGGCGAAGCGGCCCGCTGCAGGTCGAAATTTAATTAAAACGGTCGTGTAAAGGGCCGAAAAAAGGGCGGCTGCCAAAAGCGGAAATGTCATCACTGTCATTAGACGAGTCCCGGGGGGTCGAAACGCGGCAAATGCCAGCACGGCGCCCGCCATGTTTGCAATAATGGTGCTGTCATCTGCGCTATCATCCTAGAAGGTCACGGGGCCGAGTAAACTCCACTGGAAACTCCGGGAAACTTTCCCTCACCATCCTCACACAACTGGCCGAAGGCGCGCCTTACCTTAAAAAATTCGCACCTCTCAAACCAAAGGAGTTGGCAACTTCAAACTTCCAGAAAATTTTGAGCAGACTTCATTTTATACAACCTAAAAGTTTCATTGGTCTCCTAGTACAGGAAGAAGGCGAAATCGCTCCTCAACTCCCATAGTGAGGATGAAATACATTGCATTGACTGACTTCGAAAACTTCCAACTCGTAAACCAAACAAGTCTCTCACTAGAAATTCAATCAAGCTGC